AATTCCATTGAGGACTACAGCAGAGCATGGGCTAACCGTAAAAAAAGTTGAACAGGACACTTTGACAGGTCTCTGATAAAACGTCAAATTGATAACTGTGTGAATGATCAAAGCTTCAAATAATATTGTATAAAATTTTGTATTTGTATGTACATCGTACAACTACAGTCTGCCTCATTTTTAGACTTATACCTTGAATTTGACATAAGCGGTCATCTCAGTACCAGAATCTATGACGAACAAGACGAATTTCATTTCAAAATTATCAATTTCTCCAACCTTAGTAGCAATATACCAACTTCACCTTCATAAGGGATATACATTTCCCAACTCGTTCGGTATTCAAGAGCTTGAGAAGTAAAACTAGGTTAAATCCCCCATTTTCTACATAAGCAAATGCCCGTACCAAATCAGTAATATGACAGTTGCTATCTATTCTGATGTGTTTGAGCTTTTGATTTTGCCATTTGCTTACGGACTTTCCGTTTAGAATTTCCCCAGAGTTCGGTAATTTTGTCATTTTACAATTTGCAGCTGTTACTCAGACTTTACTAAACGTTACCAGTCTCTGAGCAAATAAATGTTGAACCAGAGTTATGTCAAAGAGCATCTCTTCCTTTTTCTAAAACAAGTTCATCGGAAGATACCAATACCTTTTTGATAAATAGCTTGTTTCAACTTCACAAATAATACACGATGGTCATACAGTAAAGATTGTTGGTGCTGACGTTGTTTATCATATTAATTACGTGTTATATTTAAGAGATAATTCATGGAATCCATATATTTTTGGAAATTGATACATGGCCTGGGCCGTGATATTCGAATTTTATTCTGAGCGTTAGCCATGTGTAAATGTAAAACAAATATATGGCTTCCATAATTTATTTCGTTTCTCATAGGACAAATACGGTAATTAAAATTATTTAAATAACCGCTAGAAAAAAATGTGTTTAATCCTTTTAATTCTCAAATACAACATTTGCCATTTTTAATTTACATTGTTTTTTTTTGTCAAGCTACCTTCAAATTCACTGTTGTCATTTTGTAACCAAGTAGCCGCCATGTTGACTTGCTGAAATTAGTAAATGTGGAAATATTGCAATAGAATAGAAGAAAAAGTCGTCAATCTGTGTCTATATTGAGGAAAAGATCAAGGTATGAATGAGGTTATTCTTGTATTTTGAATCATGCATATTATACGTTATTTGTATTTCAAATATATAAATTGACATTCTAGAGAGACTATGAATAGCATTCATACATCCATATTTTTCAGAGATGGTATACGCTTCTTTCAGATATTTTTACGATATTTCAGAGCTTTCAAATGTCTTGCACTTAGTCGTCAGATATAAATCATTCGTTTAACATGTAATATTCTAAGGTTGAAAATAGGGACAATGGTCTTCATTACTATAAATATAAAAGAAAAGCTTGATCAGCAAATGAGACAACAACTTGGACATTTTATTTTGTATCTTTACACAATTTTGGCTCTCGGTTCCCAATTTTTGTCACGTTTACCTATGATATATGTTCGGTTTGATAACTAAATATTGTCATTAAAAATAATTAAAATAACATAAATACCGAAATAATGACAATTCAAAACAAAAAGTCCCTTATTAAATGGCAAAATTGAAATCTCAAACACATCAAACGAATTGCAGTCAAGAATATGCATATGGTAAATTAAACCTGGTTTTATAGCTAGCTTAATCTCTTATGTGAATGACAGTCGCATAAAATTGCATTATAATGACAACAATGTATCAACAAAACAAACAGACATAATAGGTAAAAATGTCAAAATTAGGGTAACAGCAGTCAACATTGTGTTATAATCTTTATCACTATAAACATAAACAAATATCTCAACAAAGAAACAAGTTTAAAAAAAAAAATTGCTCTTTAATTTTTTTCTAAAAATCATTCAAATTAAGTAATATATCTTCTTTAGGTATACAGTATAGCATCAACATTTACCATAAATTCTAACTTGTAAAATAAAGAGACTATATCTACATAGCAAAGAGTATATAAGTTTACCAATTATTTCCTTATTCCTGTCACATTATAAAACGTTTTTAAAAACAATATTTAGTTTTCCTTGCCATCGACAGCTAAACTTGTTACGATTATCACTGATACGTTGCTATTGTCATGCACATATTACGACTATCAGATAAAATTGAGAATGGAAATCGGGAATGTGTCAAAGAGACAACAACCCGACCAAAGAACAGACAACAGCCGAATGCAGCAAGAAACTCCCGCACCCGGAGGCGTGCTTTAGATGGGCACAAAACAAAAATGTATACTAGTTCAGTGATATTGGACGTCATACTTAACTCTGAAATATACACAAGAAACTAGAATAAAATTCATACAAGACTAACAAAGGCGCACAAATGCGGCGGGGTTAAACTTTTTTTTTTTTAGATAATCCCGTTACAATTATCACATTTTACAAGTTACGATTATTTTCCTGCAATTCTCGATGACTTTTAACATAAACATACAACAAAACCGAATAGATCAACTTGGCGGCTGTGTAATTCTCGAAAACAACATGTTTACACAGAGAAATTGGCAGAAAACGATTTTTCATATTTCTACCTCCGGCATATTGGGATCGTGGTATTTGCGCCGGTTCCACGATAGTCGATTTGAAAACCTTTTAATCATACGCATAGTAATGTATACCTGTATACACGGAACACTAACATTTCTACATACTTCATTCAAAAACAAATGCTATTGTTTGTGATATCTTATCATGTCTGTCTGTATTTTAAATTTACGTTTTGTCAAACACGAACGTGTCATTGTCAACAAAGATATTACGGAAGCCTTTTAGGGCCAAGCTAATTTACTTTTTACAATTTGATATAACAAATTATTTATTTAATATAACAAATTATTCATTTGATATAACAGATTATCAATTTGTTATTACATATTATAATTATTTGATATAACAATTTATTAAGTTGACATAACAGAAAGCGAAATTTGATATGTCAAATTACTTATAGATATACTAGTAAGATGTGGTATGAGTGCCAATGAGACAACTCTCCATCCAAGTCACAATTTGAAAAAGTAAACCATTATAGGTCAAAGTACGGTCTTCAACACGGAACCTTGGTTCATACCGAACAGCGAGCTATAAAGGGCCACAGAAATGACTAGTGTAAAACCATTCAAACGGGAAAATCAACGGGCTAATCTATATAAAAAACGAGAAACACTTATGAACCACATCAACAAACGACAACTAGTTTTTGGTGGGTTTCGTGCTGCTAAGTCTTTAGTTTTCTTTGTTGTGTCTTGTGTACTATTATTTGTCTGTTTGTCTCTTTATTTTTTAGCTATTGCGTAGTCAGTTTATTTTCGATCTATGAGTTTGACTGTCCCTCTGGTATCTTTCGCCCCTCTTCTACTTAACATCAGCTTCCTGACTTAGGACAGGTGCACATAATGCAGCGGGTTTAAACGTTTTAATAGATACCAACTTTCGACCTTATCTGAACCAAAAGTGTAAAATCACAACATAGACAGACACACTTTAAAAATTTAATTGAAATAGCTTAATTCTATCAAAAGACATATTAAAACTAGTGAACATACATGCATGGATTGGGGTTTTCCCCGTTCTCTATTTGACATAAAGGATATATAAGTGAAACGCTACAACTGTTTAGCGATATAGACTTAAACGTTTTTTGCATTGCTCATTGCTCATGATCTGAAATCCTTAACCTTTATATACAACGTTATTTAGCTGCTCAGATTATACACGTTTGATTTGTTCTACAGGTATTAAAAGTCCACAATCATTCAAAATCTCACGCATGTTTCTTTATTTTTAATAAAAATATTCCAAATCAAAAATATATATTGAAATAAACTTATTTAAGACAAATGCAATGATGATTGAATGATGTTTAATAAATCCTTTCAAGTTCCTATATATATTGAAATAATACAGCATCATGCCAGGCTTTTTTTAAGAAGGTGACGCATTATTTTATCCTTGCATGGTCCTATGTTCCTACAAACACCAATATCTTTATAGAATTCTTTGTTTCGTTTTGACTTGAAAATATGCAATATACATTGATCAAATAGGCCTCCCTTTTCTATCTTATATTTGTTCGTTCTAAGACACCAGGTCCGATATACGAAATAGATAGATAAAGGAAAAAAGGGAGGAGGTTGGGTTATAGAAACTTGTAAGTTGAGTTTTTAATATGCATTAGATATTTGTCACTGGACGTCAGATAAACAATCAATTTATACACGAAATGCGCCAGTTTGGGTTACGCAATCTTTTAAATAATCATTATAATGATAAAATCATACTATTTATAGAGAAATTTAAAATGTGATATATCAAATTATCTATATCAAATTGATAATTTGATATATCAAATTAATAATTTGTTATATTAAATTCATAATTTGTTATATTAAATTCATAATTTGTTATATCAAATTAATAATTTGTTATATCAAATTAGTAATTTGTTATATCAAATTGATAATTTTTTAAATCAAATTAATAATCAGTTAAATAAAATTAATAATTAGATATATTAAATTGATAATCTGTTATATCAAAAAAAAAAATTTTTATATCAAATATATAATCTGTCGTATCAAATTACTAATCAGTTAAATTAAATAATAATTTGTTATTTCAAATTGATAGTATGTTATGTCAAATAAATTATTTGTTATATCAAATTGCTAACCTGTTGTATCAAATTGAAAATCTATGATATCAAATTGATAATCTGTTATATCAAATTAGTAATCCGTTAAATAGAATTAATAATTTTTAATATCAAATTGATAGTATGTTTTTTCAAAAAAAATAATTTGTTATATCAAATTGATAACCTGTTGTATCATATTAAAAATATGTTATATCAAATTGGAAAATTTAAATTAACATGGCCCTAAAAGGCTTCCGTAGTACAAATTGGATAATACAACAGAATCATGTGACAATGAAATTTTCTAACATGTCGCATATAAGCCTGTATGCAAAGGACATCAAGCAAACTTATGAAAGAGAATGCGTAAGTTCTTTAAGAAGTCTGTTGTATGAACTCATCTACATTTTGACGGTTTGTTTTAATTTGCTGTTTAAGTTGAAAATAAATTTATAAACATTGGTCACAATTCATATGTATTAATTGGACTTTTTTCATTTATACATATGTATCATTGGTTATCGTGGCATTTGTTTAAAGGTACAACTATCGTAGGAATTGTGGAAAATACTATTCCGAACCCATAGTATAGATGGCCAACTTTGTAACTTCTGGTTATCAAAGCACTTCAACTTTATAATTGATTAGACTTTCAACCTTTGTTTTTATTCGGTAGTCAATGTTGAACCGTATGTTGACAGGGGTTTGAGTCGTACATAATTAAGAGTCTGGTATCATCATTGATGAGTATTTTTTTCATTATGTTTGAATAATATAATTTGTTTTCATAATAGACAAGATATAGTAAAATGGCTGCCAGCACAATTCAATGAATTACCTGTATATTTAAAGAAAATAAATTAAAGTTTGCATGATATACTTCCTGGTATATATTCAGTTTGCATATACGTAACGTGACCTACTAAAAATGCTTTTTTTGAAATGTACATGTTACAGTCATCTTTGCATAAAGATAAAAGAAAGGATTTACTTTTATGAAAGTTTATTACATTGGAAATAATGATTTCATTAACAATTTTTGGTTTCTTAGTTATTACCTAAGTTGTCAGAAACTGTATCATTGTTATCACAAGGTGTAAATTCAATAATATGTCAAACAAGTTGCTTTCTTTAAAAAAAGAAATGCAATCGTGAACTTAAATGCGTGTTTAGCATGAACGATCAGATAATTGAAACACAAAGATGCATAATTTTACCTCAAAATTTTAATATAAAATGTAGAAAAATTGAATGGATTATCAATGAAGCTGCTGTTCTATGTGGGGTATAATTTTATTGTCAAAGGCATAATTTCTCTCTCCTATCTCCCTGTCTTCCAATAGATAACATTACAACATGCAATCTCATTGAAATTCCTGCGGATCTATCTTAACTCACATGCTTGTACAAATAAGTATATGAGGATAACGAAACCATATCTGTATATTTAGATTAGTTTGTAAAACATGCTAAATAAGAGTCAACCACTGAATGTTCTATTCAGGGGTGCTATTTTGGAAATAAGAGGTAGCTTCCTGGCTAAAGTCGAAATGTAAATGGGAAACAGTCTTTGTTTTGTAGAAGTTAATGAAATGAATCATGCTTATTTGCATTGTTTCTAGCACGTTTTAAAATAGGTCAAAATCCTAAGCTATATTAGTATTTGTTAATTCCAAACATTTTGACCGTTTCAAATCAATTACACTGGTTTTATAAGGTTTTGTCATTGGCTAGCATATTTGATATATGCTTGGTCTCAATTTACTCATACACCAGGCAACAAACTCAAAACAGACTTTTAAATTAGAAACAATTTAGAACCTCAACTTTATACTTAAAAAAGTTTGCTCAAACATTTCTAACATTTCATTTCATTACTTGTCCTTTTGTAAAAAAGGCTTAAGATAATGAAGTTGTTGATTTGCTCTTTTATACTATTCTGTGATAGACAGCGGGAAACAGGAATAACAGTGCGAATTCAGTATAATTCATGTCCAGTACGCAATATAAAAATCATGTTTTTGCAATCGCATGTTACTTTTATACAAATATCGATTTTAAGAGAAATATTTTTTATAAAGTTGTCGCCAAAACCGGTCTAGACCTCTGTCAATAAGCGAACCTCTTAATTCGCGTATTACCAGATTAGCTCGAATCCTTGAAAACAAACTGACTGCATTCTCAGAAACTTGCACTGATTCTTTTTTGGATGAGGCATGAAGTCGTGCACCAGCTACTTCAAGCTTTAATCTGATTGTATTTTGAGGGAGTGGGTTGTTTCATATACCGAAAACAAAAGAATTGACTTTGCCATGGATAACTATATGTTTTCGATAAGGAAATCGATACACGTGCCCATTGGAAAACTCACACATTTTCCTTAAAAAAAATTAATAAAACGCATCTCTTATTTCATAAAAGAATCATGAATAGATGATAGTTATAAGTCTTTAGACAATTGCTAATATATCCTCACAAACCACATAACGGTAGTAATTTATGATAGTTTTCAATGACAAACGTCGAAGAATATATCAAACCTCAATTTGTGTAATTTCATCAACCATACGTTTCAAATGAATATCTTTCATATATTTCATATAATTTGATTCATTTCTCATTAGAGATTTATTCTATTAAGAAAAAGTTAATATTTCATTTGCATTAATTTTGAATGATAACGATACTGTATTAGCAGATTATTCAAATTATTATTGACAATACCCAACTCTAATTTGTAGCATTGATATTGAACCCACTTAAAGTTAGATGATAGTTTCCGACCTAGTTTGTTAAACTGTTTTATCAAATATTTTGTCACAATAGACGTTTTTCCTTCCATAATAACCTGTCCCCATGTTTAGGACATAACGGTTAATGTGTTAAATTAAGAACTACATTAAACAAAGAAAATCTTGTTACTAGATATTCGTGCTATGGACTTATATTCTAATTATTAACTTATAGTAAATGATTAGTATTCGTGTATAAACCTCAAACTAATATAGTGAATGACCAGATACATGTAAAGATTGCAAAGCATTTTACGAAAACAAAATTTGAATTATGACAGAAAAATGTGTTTATACATCATGTACATAGCAAAAAAGAAGAACAAAATGAACTAGTCTTAATTTAATAATTTGCTATTTTTTTCAATTTCTTTTTCAATATTTTTCTTTTGAGAATTTTTCCCACGAAATATTATTGACCATGTTATAGTATTGGTGCTAATTATTATAATTATATTTTCATTATGTTATTGATCTTACTTGCTTTTCATATTGTATGATTGTTACTTAGAATTTGATATGTAAAGGATGCTTTATCTATCAATATTTAGTTAAACATTGATAAGATCATGTTGAATTATTATAAATGATATATGTAATTGTTTCAACAAAATGTTACAAAACATTATGAGTTACGATGAAATCCTTGAAATAAAATCCTTGAACAAAAAATATTACCTTTTTACAATTTCTAAGTAAATATTTAAATCCATTTGTGGCGTTCCTTCTTCTGAGGTAGCCAATGCTTAAGTATACTTTTTTTCAACCCTACTGACGAGCAACGTAGGCGTACCTGCTTTATGTACATGTATCCATTGTCATACATTTATGTGCTCATTTATTTAATTGGTATCATTATTTTTTATCTAATATGCTTTTTATATATATTCTATTCTTTTTTATGTAATTGCAAGCAACAAAGTCATTCATATTCCTGTTCCAAATATTTCACTTACTGTCTATGGGAAATTTATTGTATCAATATATACATTTAAGACCTAAGAATAAAATAACATTTTACTATAAAATGATTGTAGGCAAATTAACAATTGACACGCGTTTTAAAAACAATCGAAAATGTGCTTAAATTACTATCATTCTGCAAAGCTATTCAAAGCAATAATGATTTTGAGAATTAAACTTTACATGTACAACGTTTTATCAAAATACATCTAGGAATTTATTTTTTAACACAATGTTAGTGAGCATTTTGTTTCATAGCCGAAAATTCTAAACAAAGATTTAATAAAATGAAAAATTTCATTCTGATTTAATTGCAGTTGATGATAATAATATGTTTATAACAGAAATACACAACACAACAATATAACTTTATAGTTGTAAGTGTCACTAATGATGGTAACTGTGTTAAATGTCTTTGAAAAGAACGCGTTATAATGTTCCAGAGCTCTTATAATGTTCCAGAGCTCTTACAATGTTCTTTGGTAGCATATAGATTGCTGTTACCGTTATATTATTTTGTATCTTAATTTATGTCATAAAAGAGTCATCACTGATTACAAAAAATAGTGTCACACTGTAAATTTTCTAGTACGATATATCCTGATTATGAGCATGTTGCTTGGTGTCTTGTTTATTCTAATCCCCGTCTCCAAAAAATGTCCGGTGACAGCTTTTAAGGTACGCCATCATTAATTGTATCAATGAAATGACGTTGATATGTTTGTAATATAGCATGGTCTGCTCATTATACTTTTCTCTCAGATTCTCAACAGAAATACTACTTCTGGGAGATCTGGGTCTTACATGTTCGAGAAAACCTTGGACAATGCTTATGATGGTTTGAGGCATCGCCGGCGATGTAGTAACAGGCCAGGGTCGACTGACACCTATTAAGGGGAGATTCGCATCTATTTTAGTATAAAAAAAAAGAAGTAACAGTACAAGATGAAACACAATCCGAACGATCAAACAAATGGAAGAACACAAATAAAATTAGACATACTTTTCAATTAATTTCTAAATATTAAAACAGCAAATACTTTATAGATAAACATGTATAAGAAATCAAACCATTACTTTTTCACAAGTTTTATAGAATTGTTTAACATTTTGTCATACTGTTGCTATTGTTATGAGTTACAATTTATGACAGCAAAGACCCATCGAAACAACATCTGATACAAAAATTTATCAATACTTTTAGATATTTAGATGATATATTGGCTCTCAATAATGACGACTTTAGTATGTACACTAAAGAGATTTATCCTGCCGAACTGATTTTCAATAAAGCTAAAACTTACAATGAACACTGCCCTTTCCTGGATTCTGATATCTATATCTTCAACGGTACAAGGACATCATTCATAAATATAAATCAGCATGCAGACATCTTATACGTTCAGGTATTTCACATCCAATATTATATGGTAATATTCTTTACAAAGCACAAAAATGTCGGCATGCACCTCAAAAGCTAACCAAACCTTTAAACACACTGATTTGGAAAGGATATAGTTACACTTCTGTTGTCAAGTCATTAAGAATTGCATATTTTGGTATCAAAATTGATTCAGTCATAGAGTCTTTGCATCGGAAATAAACATATCTATTCTAAAACCAGTTGTTGGCATGAAACGGGTTATGTTCCTCTCATATATTTTATGATGTTATATACTAAACCCCTTACGGGAGGTATTTAACTTGATTTTCGTATGACGAAGACATAATCTTTCAATCAGTTCAATTGAGGTCTGAAGCTGGCATGTCAGTAACTGCTGGTAGTCCTCGTTCATTTATGTATGATTGTCATTTTCCTTAGTTTCTTTTGTTACTTATTCTGACATCGGTTTTGGAGTTCTTTTAAACTGAGTTTTACTGTGCGTATTGCTATGTGTTTCTTTATTCTACATTGGCTAGAGGTATAGGGGGAAGGTTGATATCCCACAAAACATGTTTAACCACGCCGCATTTTTGCGCCTGTCCCATATCAGGAGACTCTGGTCTATGTTAGTCTTGTATGTTTTTTATTTTATTAGTTCATTTATATGTTTTGGGGTTTAGTGTGACGTTCATTCTTACTGAACTAGTACACAATTTCATTTGGGGGCCAGATGAGGCCCACCTCTGGATGCGGGATTTTCTCGCTGCATTGAAGACCCATTGGTGGCCTTCGGCTGTTGACTGCTCTTTGGTCGGGTTGTTGTCTCTTTGACATATTCCCCATTTCCATTCTCAATTTTATATATATATTTCAGGTATCATACTGTCGATGATCACAATGTCTGAATTCCACAGTTTCATTGTAAGTACATTTATATTTACAATTCAATTTTCGTTTTTTTCTCTTTATAACTTTTTCTTACTACCTCTTTCATTAATTTATTACGTCGAACATTTGCTAATGTCATTGTTGATCACAACTTCTGTGTCAATTTACCATTTTTTTTTTTTTTATTTTGGGTTTTAGCACACTGACCGCATACACAAATTGAAAGTTAATACATTTTAGAAAAGCTCTATGTGGGAGGATATGCGTGCGAGAGTTTTAGTTTATTGATCACTTGTATCACGCATGTAGTTCTGATAATCTTTTGGACTTTTAGAAAACGATTTTTCTATTTAGAATTTCCAAAATGTTTCAAAAGAAATGAATACGTCTGATTTTCATCCTCCCTCTCCATGTTTATAGTTTTTCGTAAGGTCTTGATTAAACGAAATACGTTTTTGTTCTGAAAACACTTCCTTCCTTATGAGGGTAATAACCTTCATATAAGCTTTTACTTCCTGTCTTTTTACACAATGATAAGGTTCTCCTTTAAAAAACGAAAACAACATTATTAAATTTGTTTCACCGGAAGCACTTTTTCTAAATTCACCTTGATCAATGAAATGCTTCATAGGAAATTGAGAGTCAAGGATTTAGAAAACATAAATAATTAGAAGCTAGTTGAACAAAAGGGGCATTTAAAGTATTGAAAAGGTATAGAAATAAATGGAAATAAACATATGTATGTGGCTTAATGACGATAATGAATCCTCGTATCCTTTACATTTGACAAACTGTTTGTCGTTTTGATTTTTTCCCCACTGCTACTGACGCTGCTGCTGCTGCTGCTGCTGATGTTCAATGGCAAATGCAATGCAAATAAAGGACGAGAACATGTTGAGGTAATATAGGTATGAACTTGGAGTTGTACTAGAACGACTCGCATATAAGAATTTTCAACGTGTTAAATTGAGTTTCATTTAAATTATTGATCAACTCGATTTGAGTGAATACTCTGAGAATAAAAACGTTAAATGACATACTCTTTACAATTTGCATGTTATTAATTTATTTGGTATTTTGATTTATCATAATCTACATAGCCCTTCGATCAAAATTTAAAAAAACTGACAATGAAGGTGAATAAGCTGAATTTAGTGTGCATATCACGATGATCTGAAACAGACTTCATGATTTTTGCTGGACAATGCAAATTTAAGAAACCAAGCATACTACATTGGACATGACATGAACCGTTGGAACACATTCAGATTAGCCGGACCGTTGTGAAGACATCTTATAAATAGGTTAAAATCTGTGGAGAGATAAATAAAGATACTACAACTACCTCGAGACAGCTAAGTTGTAATTTAAACAAGGACAAATTAACTTGCGAAACTGTTTTTCAAATTCACCTGTCGATAGTGTAGAAACATCATATTTCACGTTTTGTGGTTAGTATTGGAATTTGTTTCTGTGATAATTTATAAAACGTAGATTAACTGTGTACCGCCATCTTGGAGTGTGAAATAGCAGTACACAATCGGCCTAGTTCTTTGCTTAAATCTGCACAATTGAGTCAAATTTGAAATTAACGTGAAAGATTTTTGAATAAAGAAAAAAAAGGTGATTTATTACATTATTTCCACTGTTTTGTAATAAATACTAGATATCTGTGTTTGTTCGAATCTGTGTTTAAATTAGGTATATACATGTAGGAGTCATATTAAAATCGTTTTTTTTTTTGTCACAACACAAAATAGGAAAATTCTTAAGATATTGCTTTATGTATTTTATTAATGACTTTATCTGAGTAAATTTCCTTTATATGGTAAAGTTATAAAAAAAAATATACCAAATTAACATATTGTGTAATTGTGGAAAACAAATCGAAAACTATATGAAAGAACAATGCAATTACATTCTTCTCTCAAAATTGGCATATTTCATTATAGAACATCTAGATTGGTTGTTTTCTGCTATCTTACAATCCATAGGGCGAAAGACACCCGATCTACCTTAAGGGGAAATAATTGAATTAGCAAAATTCTATATTTGAATGTCTTATATGTAGTATTGTATCTGTAAAAAAACACTTTTTTTTTAGTTTTCGTATTTACTTTTAATTAAGAAAAGTGTAATCCATGGAATGTCCAAGCATGTTTAAAACAAGATGTTAATCACAACACAAAGGAGTACTTTAGTATTCCTATCCTGCATAGCTTTCTATATTTTTATATTTTGAGAAAATAAACTCTTGTATCTATTTCGGTTTTCAACATCGGCACAATACACGTATATGTATCCTTTTTCTAACATGACTAAGCAATCGTGTCTTCGTGAATTGTATATTTGATTACTACTAGTAATCTTTTCATTTGTTTACAATATTTTCCTGCTAAAATGATACTTTTACACCTGTTAGACTCCGAGAGTTGTATTAGCTAAGAAGTCATCTTGGATGGAGTTCCTCATTGGCACTCATACCACATCTTCTTACATCTATTTGTTACTGACCTAAATAAAGGCAACAGTAGTATACCGCTGTTCAAAAGTCATAAATTGATTGAAAGAGACAAATTCGGGTAACAAACTAAAACCGAGGGAAACACATCAACTATAAGAGGAAAACAACGAAACAACTGAACACTGAAGTGCAACAAAAAACAAACGATAATGCAACATACATAGAAACGAACTATTTGATAACAACTGCCATATTACTGATTTGGTACAGGACATTTGAAGAAAAACATGACAGGTTGATCCAGGTTTTATGGCTAGCCAAACCTTTGCGCTTTATGGCAATGTTCAATATACTGCTAAAATGACATCATTACATGACGGAAATACAGTACAAAGAAATGCAAGAACACCAAAGACAGAGAAATACATAAATGAATAATATGATAAAAGTACACGTTTTTCTTAAAACAATTCGGTGATGATAGATTGAGACACAATTATGAAAACTAAGGTTAAAAGTTCATTAGGCAATGTTGACCTTAGATGAATATGGCTCTTATTTTTTGGTCCTTTTATATCGTATAGCCCATAACGTTTCTACGTATTTATACAATCCTTGCTGTCTATTATTTGAGACTTCCTGAATTTTTATTAATTCAGAAAGACCTTCAAAAGCTTCAAATCATAAAGTGCTATATTCATATTCTTTGTGCATTATTTTCAGATTTTCCTTTTGATATCTCCCACTGATTCCTACCGTTTACAATGTCCAGATATATCTCAGAGACTATTAAGGGCATCGGGATATTGCACAAGTATTCTAAGATGGGAATACACATGTCTTTATGATACAAATAGATTAAGGTTTTCGGAACAATGTGAAAAGAACCAAGATTATGTAAGACCAGGTAAGAAAAGGAAAATTTATATTTAGCATTGACAAATAATATTTATATATACATATTGTTGAGTCTTTCAGGCTCTAACTTTTTTTAATTTATTCGATGAAATTTTTTAAAGGTACTGCATAGAAAGAGTATTTGGCACATACATTTACAGAATATTTTAGAAGCCATTTAAATAAAAAAAAAATAAAAACTGAAGAGTTTGATGGACTCAACACTATGTACGAACGATAGTAAAAATAAACTACAAAAAGAGAAAAAAAAAGCGGCAGGTGAATGTCAAAGTAGTAATTATAACGTAATTTATCCGAGCGATGTAGTTGTTGTTTCAATGTTGTAATTTATTCCAACGAAGAAGGCCATAATGGCCCAAACGCATATATATAGTTTTTATTATATGTATATATATATATATATAAGTATAAGCAAGTGCCAACCATACAATATATATGCCCACTGGATCTCAATGTGTTTAAAAGACCGGGTGAATTCAAATATTTATATCAGTCTGAAAATTAGACCCACCAGTGTCAAATTAAGATTTTTATAAGCATATACATCTAATTCTCACATTGTTAGGTTTGATTTTCAGATTTACGCCTAAAAGGTGTACAAAACAACACCAATATTAATAAAAGGAAACATTAAATGTAATTATCTATAAATATTTCGGATAACAGGTATCCTTCATCAGTATGATTATGATGTAAAATGAATCATATCAATCTATTCTGATTTAATTATAACAATCTTGAAATTTATACAATAAAAACCGAACAGAGCAACGAATGTACAATTCTAAAATTTCAAAATTGACGAAGGTTAGGTATTTACAACAGAGACTGCATAGATATGATACTAACAAAATTAGAAATGTGCGATATAAATAGGTATATGTATATTTCAAAAAAATTCAGCAGTTTGAAAATGATTGATAAAAAAAATTATTTTGAAACAAGTTAAGTAATTGAACGTGGCTGCGTACTTATACATCCTAAATGAATATCATCCTTTCGATTTAACAAAGGTAAAGGAATAGCAACAGACTGCGTAGTAATATGAAATATAACCCAAATGAAAAACACTGAACTAATTAGAAATACAACTTGTTATTTAATCTATTTGGTGCGAAACTTTTTTTAATTTTCTTATCCAAAATCTTTCCCGAGCGAGTCTATCCTCCTTAGAACAGTGTTGTGGTCTATAATTGTAATGTTTAGCCGATTGATAACTGCCTTTTTGTGGCCAGGGGATCTCAAATGTCGACTGAGAGGAAGGCCTGGGTTGCATTCATAGTAGTTTTGATGGCCGTTCATACGTTTATGAAATGGCTATTCTGACGCGCCAACATACTGTTTATCACATTTACACTGTAGGAGATACACAGCAATTGTAGTCTTTCAATTAACATTGCAAAATATGGTTCATTTCGTACCAATGGAGTGACTGTTAAAAGCCTGGGTATTCAGTATTTGCTTGCAAGTCAGACATTGTTTGTTCCCACATCCCTTGCAAGAGCACACAGACGATGAGCCCGACTGCGGATAAATCAGCTCTCACCAGCAAGTCTTTAGGGCTTTTGGGTGTAGTTTAGTAACTGGTGATTGGGGAATAGAAATATGATTACTTTTAATCTCTGTCGATCGTCAATAAAACCCTTGCCAAAGTGAGGTGTCCGTTTGGTTCTGTTGGTTGTTTAAATTCACATCACGTCCAGTCAGAATGGGGATGTTAAATCTAGTGCTAATGTAAAGAGGGTACAAGGCTCTATACACATTAGGAACACTTGCAACAACTTTTTGATGGGCACGTATGTGGCCTGATGCAAGACTAAATTTCTGTACCTTTAATAATTTTCCATTGGCAATCCTAATTTCTATCCTGAAGGACCCCTATTACAGGATCTTCCTATTGTAAGTATTGGTTATATTTTCTCGCCCTGAACATGCGTAACATATTTGCCACTGGATATTTATCAACTACCAACCAATGAATCAATCGGGACAGATTTTTACAACCTTTTTTATATTACACGATAAAATACTTTTAAAAACATTTTTTTCAGCGCACATGTCTATTGTTGTTTATTATCTTAATCATTTGTTATAGTGATTTTTTATTTGTCTTTGTAAAAAGTAAAATCACAAAAATACTGAACTCCGAGGAAAATTCAAAACGGAAAGTCCCTAATCAAATGGCAAAATCAAAAGCTCAAACACACCAAACGAATTGATAACAACTGTCATATACCTGACCTGGTACAGGCATTTTCTTATGTAGAAAATGATGGATTTGAACCTGGTTTTATAGCTCGTTAAACCTTTCACTTGTATGACAGTCGCATCAAATTCCATTATATTGACAACGATGCGTAAATAAAACAAACAGACATATAGGTAAAAATGTCAAAAATACGGATACAGCAGTCAACATTGTGTTATAATCTTAATCACTAAAAAAACAAAACAAAGAAGCACATAATGGCATATAGACCAAGCATATCAGCAAATATTATTAAAAAAAAAATATTACGTCACTGCTTAGTCTATTTTTGGTAATATCAATAAGGCATGGCTGAGCACTTATACATCCCGTCATTGAATTATTATGTTAAGGTAAATTTTTGTTTTTAGTTTAAATGTGCTTTTGTCTATACGCCTTTTTGTTTTTCTATTCGTTTGTTTTATAGTGATTTAGATTATAACACAATGTTGACTGTTGTATCCCGTATTTTCACAATTATACCTATTATGTCTATTTGTTTTTTTCACACATTGTTGTCAATATAATGGATTTTTATGCGTCTGTCATACACGTGGGAGGTTTAGCTAGCTATAAAACCAAGTTTTATCCAGCATTTTACTACATAAGAAAATGTCTGTACCAAGTCAGGAATATGAGAGTTGTTATCCATTCGTTTGATGTGTTTGATCTTTTGATTTTGCCATTTGATAAGGAACTTTCCGTATTGAATTTTACTCGTAGTTTGCTTTTTTTGTTATTTTATTTATGTCTATACCAGTTACTTTAATATTTTCAAAATTGATTACAAAGGGGTATGCTTGGGTCATTATTTTGCATTTTGTCTTTCATTTTTTCTTTTGGGCCTTGTCTATATAGTGTCTATAGCGCCTTCTATATGCCATTTTGTTTTTCTTTGTTGACATAGTTGTTTTTTTTTATAGTGATTAAGAATGAAACATTGACTAACATTTAGAAAAAACATAGTAATCTTCTCACATTTTTTATAAATTAAACAATGGTTTCGCTAAATGTTAATATACTTTTCAATTAAAAAGATTTTTAATAACTATGTCATTTTCATTATATTCTAAATGACAATATAGTTTAAATTATATTGAAAAAAACACAATGAAAATCGTGAATATCGAAATTATCTCGAAAATGAATTATGCAAATAAAAATTGTTAATAGCTGAACACAATAATTTGGCGACAAATTTAATTTACAATGTAAATGATTTAGTAACCTATAACCTGTATAATTATTATTAATTTTTCAATTTATATTATGACTTAATTACTATTTTCAACTTACTCATTTTTATTCTAATTTTGCTGAACTGGACTGGTTTCTCTTTTAAGGCGAAAGATATGTAATAACTGGAAGTCTTCGAAATGTCGATTGTTCTTCAAAACAATATCAGCCTTTTTCGTTATGGTCAAACATAAGTGGGGTGTGTTTGTACCAAAAGACCCCATGTGTAGGACAGGGTCAAGTTATCTTCAGCAATGGGTCGCTCATTGAAGATAGAAAATGTCGTTGCGATTACACGAAAGGATATACATTTATTCAACGACCAAAACAGAACTGTTCTTGTAACCCATCAGAGGAGGATTGTTCCTGTTACATCAGTGAATGTCCTGGTGGTTCAGTGTTATCACCTGGTATATAATTAATGAATACGTTAATTATACCACTAGATAAATGATACCCTTATAAAATATAGAGATGTGGTACAATTGCCAATGAACCAAATTTCACATTCATTAATCTCTCCTTTAAAATCATATTGAGGTCAAGTTCAGTAAATGGTCAATGTAACAGATTTTTTGTTCAATTTTGTATACAGCTTCATCTCGATGAAGTATAACTAAAAAATCAAAAAAATAATACATTTTTCCTTTTTTATATTGTTAAATTTCACTGATTACATTCTTTCAAGAAGGTATATTTAAAAAAATAGCATATGAAATTTTGTCTTACAATCATCAAATCTCAAATTTCAAATCCATCGATTTTTCATAATAATATAAATATTATGTTGTTGATAAATATATTTCCGTTTTCATTATTAAAATTAATAATAGGTTCACCAACTTCTTCGTGTGTTTTCTTTACAAATATATATTCTAGTTGGAAAACACATCGACGTTCCTACGCGATGACGTATCATTTTGCGATGATTCGATCTATTGTTTTACCTAAATCACTAACCTGAATGATGGTTACCGTAAAAACGAAGTCGGGAACTCCGTTCAGTTTTTACTTCATTCATTTATTCGGATGCAGAATTTTCTTGCTGAGTTGAAGACCCATTGGTGGCCTTCGGCTGTTTTTTACTCTTCGGTCGGGTTGTTGTGTATTTGACACATTCGTCATTTCCATTCTCAATTTACTAATATCCTCTCCAATTTTTTTGGGGGGAATCCTGATGCGTTCTCTTTCGTTTTCGTTGTAGTGTTTTTGTTCGACGTGTTAGTCGTATTTTTTTATTTTTTTTTTTTGCCATATTGTTTGCAGTTATTTTTACTTGAGAGTTTGAACTTTTATCAAATTTAGATATTGGTTGAACTATTTTCCGGTTGTTTGGTTGTACATGGACAATTGATTTATTGGCCTGTTTTAAATTGCCCCCTTTATTATGTGTAATCTTTCAAATTATCACTATCGTTTTAAAAAAAATATAAAGCAGCTGAACAGTTTGGCGCATATGACATGCTACAACTTGCACAAATCTAATTATTTATTTGCATTTAAATAAGTACGACCCTCCTGTCTCTGTCACTTAATGTGCTTATTATTTTGAATCTCATTTATGTTCAGGTAAAATGGCTACGATCCTATTATCCGATATTTATCAAATACAAATCTGTCCTATTCTTCTTAATTATTGATTTATTTTGATTATTCTTTCCCTTAATCGTATACAAAATTTGTTATCATAACAAAGGTTTAAGGTTTGTTCGATGAAATATACTTAGGCAATTTAAACAAACAATATCAAATGAGACTTCAATATTAAGTAGAAGCATGCGTTGAAATCCTGACGATGTTGTCAAATTTCCCCAGAATGTCAACTTATTTTTATTTTGTTGACATTTTATTCCGTTCTCAAATTTATCAAGGTGTATTTGGATTGCATATTTGAGCGCTTTATCTGGAAAGCTGTTCCATTTCATATGTGTGATTCTTTTTCACTGAAACAATTTTATAGTGAAACAATGTTCTTAATATTCGGGGCCACATTTAACCCTAAAAGAACCTAAAACTTAATTAACTACGACACAATCTAACTATAATTCAAAATAAATTGTGTTTGGTGACTTTTCCAAACATAAACATTTCTCTGAAACTGACATTGTCAAGATCCTTCTTGATTACGTTTCGAGGACGTGTTTTACCATTTCTGTGTAGCAACATTCCAGCAGCGACTGAATACAGAGTATATATCACTCAGTTGATATGATATTCCCGGGCTTGTATTTATTATCAATATTTCCTTGAAAGAGGGTTGCTGCTTACAAGTAATATATTAAACCAAAGGGTTCCAAGTGATAAAGTTGACATCCCTTCGTAAATGTTAAGGAGGCCATCATGAGTTAGTTGACCGTTATGGAATATCCGTTTTACAGATGATACTGGATATATGTTCTTAATGTCGTAACTTAAATCCTTTTCCCCGTCTGTGACCTTTACATTTATTCTTATCACCGTATTTTCAGCATGATCTACACAATGGGTGCAATATGTGGAGCTGGATCTGCTGACCCTGCTGGGACACCTCAGATCAACCCCAGTTTTGTTCTGTTGGTCGTGTCACTCAGTCTTTAGTTTTGTATGCTGTGTGAACGGCTATTTGTCTGTAGGTCTTTTTTTCTTAGACATTGCGATGTCAGTTTATTTTAGACTTATGAGTTTGAATGTCCATTTGGTATCGTTCATCTCTCTTTTAAATCGATCGATGTTAAATGCATCAATTGATATACAAAAGGACGAAATTCCGACATATGGAATCCTTTTTGAATTCCAACAAATTATTTTAGTCATTTTAAAAACTGTTTTGATATACATACATTGTTTTTAAATAATAACACTAATTTTATTATTTCTCAGATTATGAATGTGTTGAGGAAAAACTGCAAACTGACTCGGAGTGTCCTCCAATACAGATTGAAAGGTAACACTCCTTTAATGTTTGACTCAGTGACTAAATATCTAAACTATCTTTTCATGACGATACGGATCTTCCAACATTTGTATTTTCTTGTTTGGTTGTGTATGCTACATATAAAACTGTGATGTACCATCAATGATAAAGGAAAATAATATACTAACTATAAAAGAGAAAAGTACGTTTATAACACAATTAAATCTAATAAATTGTTTAAGACATATTATAAAAGCCTTAAACAGAAAGACACAACGTTTTTGGTAATTTAATTTGTAGTTGCGAAGCATGTCTTTAAATAATCCTTTCTGTATAAATCAAATTCAATAGGGTACCGCCCGCTATTGTTTTTTTATTCGAACGGTGTGTAAGTAAAATAAGTTCGCCGTCCGGTATCTCTTTATAACCACCATAGTACCCATTCTTTGGAACTTTCGGGGTAGCGCCTGTTATTTGGTATATAAGGGGACGTGAGAGAGATTGGAGAGATATCTTAGTTAGTGACATGGTATCAGTTAGACAAAGAATGAGAAATAAAAGAAATATTTTCATTAACAACAATTGTTCAGTATTATTATGTAAACTAGTGAATAATTACATTTTGAAATTTATTCAAGACTTTGTGTCGTGCTTTGCTATCTTTGTGCTATTACAACATGGATTTTACGTAACTGACGCTACCCAATAAAAGACATTGACGAACAAGAATCCATATGAAACGACACGCTACATTACGACGAACGGGTGCAACAGTTGAAATAGCCAATCTCTTAGAAAAAAATCTGAAAGCATTATTCGTCGCCTATTCAACTGTTGCTAGTGAAATCATAGATGTTAACAGATAATAACAGAACAAGAACAAAGATTATTCATGGAAAATGTATCTGATAATGTTAAATGCACAGACAAAGTCAAGTCGTTACCGCATCATCCAATCAAAAAGGAATCAATTACCACCCCATACATATAGTACATATCTGTAGATGTGGAACAAACTACAATTGCCCATGTCTTAACGGTTGTTTGCAAATTACCCACCAATGCTGACTTTTGTGACAGAGTTATTGATTCGTTTGAAATGTTTAAATATAAAGTAAAAGAGGACATTGAAAATACATTTTTAAATATTGTTAAGATATTAATGACTGATATATTACACTATTCATATAATGCCATTGGATTACTTACATGTTAAGGATTGTATTTTTCGGCGCAACCGGTTTAATGTTTATCTTAACCATCACACTATAGAATCATACATAAACATAATTAAGAACAGTTGAACAATCATTTCTGACTTGACTGGTTGACCGTTATGAAATATTCGTTATACAGATGATATCGGATATGTTCCTTATGTCGTAACTACAATCCCCTTCCCTTTTCACGAATGTGACCTTCCGAATTAGACTATTTACCGGCTTTGTAACAACATGAGCAACACGAAGGTAGCCACATGTGGAGCAGGATCTGCTTCCCCTTGCGGAGCACATCTTTTGATTTTGAGCTTTTGATTTTGCCATTTGATTAGGGACTTTCCTTTTTTTAATTTTCCTCGGAGTTCAGTATTTTTGTGATTTTACGTTTTATGTATTTTGGAGTTCGGTATTTTTTTATATTGCTTTTCATGTTCCTAGTGCTTCCTAAAAGCCTTCATCTTGAACATGAAATTCTGAATAAGCAACACGAGCAAAACAACAGTCGGGTCATTTGGATCAGGATCATTTTTGTGATTGAATTAACCGTTTTTTTTTAACTAATGAGTGTGACTGTCCATTCAGTATATTCTTTTACTTTCTATGTTTCCTGTGGTTATATTTGCTTTGGGCTGCTATGTTGTTATCTCTCGTTTTCCGTGTTGAGAAAAGCAGAAATAATCATTCTGGCCAATATTATACTAAATATTACATACATTTTTGCATTTGTAGCTATTGTCTTGAAAAACAAAACAAAGAAAAATACTTATTTTGATAACATTTAGACAATCGGTAGTAACAACTTTTATCGTTGTTGACATACTGTTGGGTTTTGCGTCATTCGGCATGAATAAAGGCATCAGTAGTATACCGCCGTTAAATAGTCATAAATCGATTAAACGAAAACAAATCCGGGTCTCGAACCAAAACCGAGAGAAACACATCAACTATAAGTGGAAAACAACGGAGCAACAGGAACACTGAACTGCCGTAAAAACTAACGCAAACATACATAGAAAGGAATTATTTGATAACAACTGCCATATTCCTGATTTGGTATAGGACATTTAAAGAAAAAAATGGTGGATTGAACATAGTTTTATGGCTAGCCAAACCTCCTGGTTTTATGGCAATGTAAATTAAAAAAAAACGCTAAAATGACAACATTACGTGACATGAATACAGTTCAATTAAACGCCAGAACACTCTTGACAGAAAAAAACATAAATATATAATATAATAGGTACATTACAACATATAAACCACAGAATAACAACGGAAACCTCCCAGGGATTTATGATAGTACACCAGGTTACCAAAATAGAATTATGAAGTGCGCGTCACACGAATGTATCAATGCCACAAAATGTGACGTATCTTTAATACACACAGATTGTTACGTTCAAAATTATTCACTTCTTTAATTAAATTATATATGTTGTTGGTGATTATTTTATTTTTTATTTTTGTTTGTTGTTTTTTTTAGTAGCGACAGTTGGCAGAGGCAAAACATAAAAAGTTATACGGGTAAGTATAGGTATGCTTAACGATTTTAAATTAACATTCGAAACCATCTACTAAAGGGATTTTTGACTTAACGAGTTACATATTTAATTTTTAAACAATTTTATAATTTTAAAACTGCCAATTTAATATAACAAGAATCATAAAAATGCAGAAACACAAGTTCCTAAAGTAGTTTTCTCTCGTGTAATAGGTTTTTTAGTGACATGTACATACAAGTTCCGTTTAAAATGACATATTTTTCATATCTTTCAGACAAACAAGTACAGTCAAGAATGCGTTTGATTGCAGTGGGCACCATGTTTGTTCTTGTTGTAGCATACACAGGTATTGCACTACTGTATAGAAGATGATACGCTGCTTTTTTTTTAATTCAGGAAAGGTTATGTTTATTTTTATAGAAAGAGCAAACCTGTCATTTTGATCTTAACCTAATCTGTAAGTATTAACAATGAATAACTCTTTCTGGTCATTTTAAGACCTACTAGTATTCACTAGATAAGTAAAGTACGGTTCAAACGTTTCGTTTGCGGTCAGTTCGGTACTGTTCAGTAGATTTTCTGCCACTTACGTATGATGTTGATGCAAATAAAAATAAAATGTAAATCTAGAAAGAACAGATCTTTATAATAATAGCCAACAAACGAATTTCCTGAACAGTACTGAGTTTACAGCGGTTAGTTTAAATTTGACTGAAACTTACTTATAATAATAAATTAGTTATTTCTTTTATATGATTTGAAGTTATTAGCAATTTTGTGCAAGGGATTTTTTTTTATACACACTTTTGATGTCAAGGAAAAACCGATTTAGTTAGAAAAAAACAAATAATAACACCATTACAAACACAATTCTATTTTAATATGCTTGTCATGGTAAGAAAATACATAAATTAATACCACTACAAACTCAATCCCAATATCATATTCTTGTACGTGTCTATAATATAAATGTTACAAATCTATTCTATTTTTAGAAATTTACCTGTGTTGATATAGACGTTATAAAAATTTCGTCACTTTTTGTGACATCGATCCATGCATGTGACGCGCAGTTTATACTTCATTTGTGGTGTCCTGTCGTAAATTCATTAGTCTCTTTTGTTATTCTCTGGTTTTCATGTTGTAATGTACTATTATGTTATTTATTTATGTACTTCTCTGTCCTAAGTGTCCTTCGTTAAGTTGTATTGCATTCCTGTCATGTAATGTTGTAGCGGTATTTTCAACATTGCCATATAAGCGAGAGGTTTGGCTAGCGATAAAATCAGTATGAATGCCCTTTTTTTCTTAAAATGTCCTGACCCAAGTCAGGAATATGGTATTCGTTATCAAATTGTCCGTTTCTATGTATGTTTGCGTTTGTTTTTGTTGCAGTTCAGATTTTCTGTTGTTCTGTTGTTTCCAATCTATAGTTTGTGTTTTCCACGGTTCAAGATTGTTACCCGGATTTGTTTTTCGCTGAATGGATTTATGACTATTGATCAGCGGTATACTACTGTTGCTTTTATTTATCTTGATTTTTAGTCTTTTTAGTCTTTTAAGAGCTGTTAATATCAAAATTGGTCAACTAGTATAACGAAATATCACATCCGAGTTTTTACAGTGAAGTTATTTTAGGATACCGTAAAATTAGATACGATTTCGGTCTTTGAATCGACTTATCCTCAAAGGTTATCAACTTGGCATTGTAATATAATCAGTAATATCGTATTCATCATTTATGTACAAAACAAATATGATAAACAGCATCAAACGGCAACGACTGAATTACAGGCTCCTGACTTGGGACAGGCACATATAGAATGTGGCGGGGTTAAATTAGTTTTGCAAACCTTCCCCCTTACCTAGGACAGTGGTGAATAACAAACTATTGAAATGAGTTTAAAAGTGCTCAACTTATCAGATTGATAAACGCAGAGAAAGAACTAACAAAAACACAATACATGGCAGGGTATTCATACTTTTAATAACTAAAGCACCAAGCACCGATCTGAGAGTACTCGCAGTTCCTGACAGTTGTTACCATCAAATTAATGAAAATAAAACTAAGGTAAAAAATTCATCAATCAGTAGACATTCAACAACCACTTGAGGGAGTGTTAAGATGTCATTTACAGTGAGAAAAAAACATTATCTTGTGTAATGCCTAAATAAGGTATTGACAGATTGTAGAACCGTGAATGTGCATTTGTATATAACAATAATATTTAGTTTGTTTTTTATTTTCTGATTACAAAATCAATATTTGTACCCAAAAAAAAACATACTCAAAGATCTTATTACAATGTTAAATTGAAAACCTACTATAGTAAAGGTTTATCTAAATGATCTATAAGTTTACCCGAACTGTATCTAGATTTATCAAGCTCGGTTAACAACATCACCGTAAAATATAGGATGTGCTATTGCGTTTGGCATAATCTTACTGCCGGTACAGCCAAACCTCCAAACCAAATCAGGGTAAAGATTCGAAGTTATATATGATAACGAATTGCTGAAATCAATAATGTACCAGCAATACATATATTACTTTCAATGAAATTTAAAACGTCACAACAGAGACGGGTATGTCTTTTTTGTTAATTTCGGCAGTATATGTAGAACATTCTTTATAGTTAAACGACAGAAGATTATCGCGATAGAGATGAAACGATATTTACGGGGTTTTTATGACGAAAAGGTAACCAAAACATAGTAGGGACCTGAAATGTTCAGAGGTGGTCTTAAGCTGTGATGTGGTAATAATTTGATTGTTTACTATATGTATAAAGTATGCCGTGTTGAAGGCCGTACTTTGACCTATAATGGTTTACTTTTATAAATTTTGACTTGGATGGAGAGTTGTCTCATTGGCACTCATACCACATCTTCTTATATCTATGACTGATTAAGTTGAAAAATCCTGTCCGATTAAATTTTAGTATCATTCAATCCAAAAGGATGGTAAAAAAATCATTCACATAAGTTTATCAATTTGCCATCGTAGTCAAATCTTAAAATATTGTTTTTATCGGTAGTAACATTAATTTTGCATTTCAAAAAAAAAACATAAATAAATGTACATTGTATATTGTGTTATTGCTGCATTGCTATTTTGATATTATATAAACATGATATATGCATAGTTATAAGCAATCATTATCCTATCTTCTGTTACAAATGTAATACTGTTCTCTTAAATTTGGCTTTACAAAGGTCATGGGTTTCGCAGACTGTTTATGACGTCTTTACACTAAATCCGTTCAATTTGTACTGATTGATACTTTAGTCTAGGATTTCATGATTGATTTATCAGTTATAAAACCAGGTTGAATCCACCATGTTCTACATAAGATCATGCCCCTGTATCAAGTCAGGAATATGACAGTTGTTATCTATTCGTTTAATGTGTGTGAGTTTTTGATGTTGCCATTTAATAAGGGACTTTCCGTTTTGAATTTTCAAGTTCATATATTTGTTATTTTACTTTTTATAACTGGCCTTGAACTATCTTTCCATTACTGCGAGTACTCCTTAATAGGTGCTTTGTGTTTTGGGTCGGCTGCTGTTTTTAATTTTATTTGTTGATTTGGGTTTTTTTCTGGCGGAAGGGGTAGCTGCATGTGTCAGTACCGATTTTTTGCATGAACGACTGAACGCTCATATTTATCCCAACGACATGGTTTATGTGGAAGGTCCGAGCAATGGGGACTGTTATTCAGTGATTGTTGTTAGTTCTTATCTGTCATATCTGTATGTTTTAAAGCGTATTGTTAAAAAGTACATTTCTTGTTTGAATTGTTGAACGTTTTTCTTATGGAGGCATCCTATAGCTGACTGTATGTATATGTTTTGTCATTATGTAAGGGCCTATAATTACTGATATCGGCGTCAGCTAAACTCTGGTAGATAGTTGTCTCATCGACAATCATACCATATATCCTTATTTTTTAATAACAATTATTTGACGTTTTTTCAGTGATTGTGTTCGTCTTGTGGAATAAAATATCGAAAATTGAATGCATGCAAGGTAAGAATTATCATTTATGTTTCTGCTAATAAAATTGAAATTGGTATGGCCCTTGAAATAACAACATTCCGAGTTCAAATGTCCTCCTCGTTGCACATATCTCATTTGCACAGAGACAATAATTTCTTGTTTCTTTAAATTGTTTTTAATAATTATCTTACAAGAAAATGTAAATAAACTCATTAAATATGGGTCAATATCCCTTATGCGCCTCCAATTGAGAAATGCAAAAAGAATGCATAAAGAATAAACCTTTATGCAGTGATTGTCTCAAATTTTCAGAGAACTTATTGTCTGAAAAAAGATATTTTTTATCTCGAGAAGGTGCATTACAATAGGCTTTGTGGTGTGCTACATTACAGTAAAGTGAAACTCATTTAAATTCTCCCTCATAAATTCGTCCGAATTTAAAACATTTCTAATCTATCTACATGGCTAAATAAGAGGCAAGTCAAAATGTAGGCTTGGTTTGCTCGCAGTAACTTAATCTTTTCTGTGCGATGCAACATTTAATAAAGATAATAATAACATTACAAACATCTCTAAACAAACACACATCTAGCTATTCTACACTAAATCATTATAATATAATGCAAATAATATACTATGCAGAACATGTTGTACTTAGAAGTTACTGTGAGCACCTCGATACATACTATACAAGTATCGGACTTATATATGGCTATAGAACCCCACCCGTAATACCGCCTAAGAAATTTCCGTGCAGTACTAACCAAATACTTATAATTAGATACTAATCAAAATAGTTTTAAAAACTTGTTCTACAAACTAGTTCTACAAACTTGTTCCAGTTACTAAGTTTGACTGTCCCTCTGGTATCTTTCGCCCCTCTTTTACTAAAGATTGAAATAGATCAGGGAAAATCCAAATATAACGGGATAGAAATATATTTATTTTAGCTGAGATTTAACCACATGTATGAAAATGTCTCAGGTTAGAAATGAGCCATCATATTATTCCAGTGTACGATATAGGCAGAAGACTTGAAGAAAAGGCTACCATTATACATAAAAGACGATATCCATATACGCTTCCGATTAAACGTGCTGTCGCTGTATTCTTAGCACATATCTGTTGTTATCTGAAAACCAAGAACGTATTATAATACATTGTTAATACGTTCAAGGGGTATCCCTAAAGCAAACTTCCCCCTGAACTAATTTCACAAAGGACCATTTTATTAAAAGTCTATCGATCTCTATTTTGATTTATAATACCACAGACCCAAATTGCATGAATGTCATTACAATTTTGAACTTTGCTGTGACATCATTCTATTGGTGTACCTGTTCTTAATTTCTGAATCAGTAAATGAACTATCATGTGAGAAACCGTTATATTACCTTTAACTGTCCAATATTTTCAAGAATAACCCTACTATTTCTTATAAATTTTGGATAGATGACAGATTTCATAATTGTTTTTTCACAGGTAAAAAATAGTCCAAGGACTGAACAAAAATCTATATATTAACTCAAATTGTTCCTTCCTTAAAAAACAAGACAACAACGCAAGAACTAATAATAACAACCTTTTCATTCATGTCATTTTCCGATATAATGATTTCGTTACTCATGAAGTCGTTTCTTGAGAAAAAAATGAAAAAAACTTGATCTTAGAACTGCCAGCGACAACACTTATTTCACCGCCATTGTTCTCTTTTTGGGGTTCATACAGTCAATTGGATAGTAGTCACTTCCTTGTGTTGCACACTTTAGTTATGAAATATCAAAGAACTGTGTATAGGTGACAATTACTTATCAATATCAAACTAACTTCAATTGCAGAAAGTTTAATCCACCATTTTCTACATAAGAAAATGCCTGTACCAAGTCAGGAATATGGCAGTTGTTATCCATTCGTTTGATGTGTTTGAGCTTTTGATTTTGCCATTTGATTAGGGACTCTCTTTTTTTAATTTTCCTCGGAGTTCAGTATGTTTGTGATTTTACTTTTTGCTATCTCTCCGTTTTTGCAATTTTATTTCTGTCATCCAGCAAGTTTCAGGGAGTTGGACAGCTTACTCAGTTTTGGTTTTAATGCTTTTATGTATTTCGTTTTTGAACAAGATGTTTTATATCCTGGTCAGTACTTGTATATAAAAAAGACGTCTCATGCTGCTTAACATCATTTCCATTCACAATGAAAATGAAACAAATGCTTCTTTCGCTTCATAGATCATGCCGCAATACCACCGTGTAGAACGCCACATGAGGCGTGTTGGCTATGTTTGACACGGACTGGCGATTTGCACTTTGTACACAGGATGTAGTTTCGTTTAATCAAATTATTGATAAGCTTTTTTGTTGCATTTGTTAAACGAACAATCTGTTTCGTGTTGCTGTCTTTAAAAGCAAAATTTAACAAAAACATGTAACATTGGAAACTTTTATCAATATTTCGTCATCAGCAACGTGGAACTCTGAATAGTACATTAAGTATATGTGCTTTTTTGCTATGTCTTTGGTCGATCCAAAATCATGCCAAAAATTATGTTTCGATCCTTATCAGGTTGAAATCGAAACAATGGCCTAGCAAGTTTCTGCTATACTTGATTAGCATAACAAGTAACTAACTTATTTCATCAGTGTAAAATTAAGTACAAAATGATCATTGTTGAAATTCATATAAAAATAGAATTAAAAGGAAATAACAATTTTGGCACGGATAACAATAAATTGAAAAATGACACATATAAATTATGAAATTTTTTCCGCTAATGCAATTCTTATTATGGTACAATTTACCTCAATTTAGGATAGACTCTTGAATTTTCAGGAGTCAAAATAGGATGAACGGATCATATAAACCCGAAGGCAAATATAATACAAGCCCAAACGAAAAAATATAAACAAGTCTAAATTGAAAACACAGTTCAAACCTATGATTGCGTTGGATAAAAACGCAATTTTTATACGTGTGCATGCAAAACAAATTTCTTGTTAGAGGGGTCTAAATACAGCACCAAAAAAGTGAAAAAGTATATTTAAACAAAACGCATTTGACTAACAAGTCGAACAACAAATGTTCTTAAACCCTGCTGACTGCCATTGGCGATTGCCAAATAAACGGATCACCGATGTAATAAATAGATCTTAATTATGAATTTAATACAAAACAAAAAACAATAAACTCGCGAAAAAGATGATATACTGCAAACAAAATGTGCAAAGGTTTTTGTACACCATATCCGGATTTCGACAATTAATGTCTCTTCAGTGATGTTAGGAATCGAAACAGTATTTGGAAAGCCATACAATTTACCTCAATTTAGGATAGACTCTTGAATTTTCAGGAGTCAAAATAGGATGAACGGATCATATAAACCCGAAGGCAAATATAATACAAGCCCAAACGAAAAAATATAAACAAGTCTAAATTGCAAACTCAGTTCAAACCTATGATTGTGTTGGATAAAAACCGCAATTTTTATACGTGTGCTTGCAAAACAAATTTCTTGTTAGAGGGGTCTAAATACAGCACCAAAAAAGTGAAAAAGTATATTTAAACAAAACGCATTTGACTAACAAGTCGAACAACAAATGTTCTTAAACCCTGCTGACTGCCATTGGCGATTGCCAAATAAACGGATCACCGATGTAATAAATAGATCTTAATTATGAATTTAATACAAAACAAAAAACAATAAACTCGCGAAAAAGATGATATACTGCAAACAAAATGTGCAAAGGTTTTTGTACACCATATCCGGATTTCGACAATTAATGTCTCTTCAGTGATGTTAGGAATCGAAACAGTATTTGGAAAGCCATACAATTTACCTCAATTTAGGATAGAATCTTGAATTTTCAGGAGTCAAAATAGGATGAACGGATCATATAAACCCGAAGGCAAATATAATACAAGCCCAAACGAAAAAATATAAACTAGTCTAAATTGCAAACTCAGTTCAAACATATGATTGTGTTGGATAAAAACCGCAATTTTTATACGTGTGCTTGCAAAACAAATTTCTTGTTAGAGGGGTCTAAATACAGCACCAAAAAAGTGAAAAAGTATATTTAAACAAAACGCATTTGACTAACAAGTCGAACAACAAATGTTCTTAAACCCTGCTGACTGCCATTGGCGATTGCCAAATAAACGGATCACCGATGTAATAAATAGATCTTAATTATGAATTTAATACAAAACAAAAAACAATAAACTCGCGAAAAAGATGATATACTGCAAACAAAATGTGCAAAGGTTTTTGTGCACCATATCCGGATTTCGACAATTAATGTCTCTTCAGTGATGTTAGGAATCGAAACAGTATTTGGAAAGCCATACAATTTACCTCAATTTAGGATAGACTCTTGAATTTTCAGGAGTCAAAATAGGATGAACGGATCATATAAACCCGAAGGCAAATATAATACAAGCCCAAACGAAAAAATATAAACAAGTCTAAATTGCAAACTCAGTTCAAACCTATGATTGTGTTGGATAAAAACCGCAATTTTTTTACGTGTGCTTGCAGACAAATTTCTTGTTAGAGGGGTCTAAATACAGCACAAACAACATTTTCCAAAAGACCAAAAAAGTGAAAAAAGTATGTTTTATCAAAACGCAGTTGACTAACAAGTCGAACAACAAATGTTCTTATACCCTGCTGACTGCCATTGGCGATTGCCAAATAAACGGATTACCGATGTAATAAATAGATCTTAATTATGAATTTTATACAAAACAGAAAACAATAAACTCGCGGAAAAGATGATATACCGCAAACAAAAGGTGCAAAGGTTTTTGTACACCATATCCGGATTTCGACAATTAATGTCTCTTCAGTGATGTTAGGAATCGAAACAGTATTTGGAAAGTCATATAATTTACCTCAATTTATGATAGACTCTTGAATTTTCAGGAGTCAAAATAGGATGAACGGATCATATAAACCCGAAAGCAAATATAATACAAGCCCAAACGAAAAAATATAAACAAGTCTAAATTGAAAACACAGTTCAAACCTATGATTGCGTTGGATAAAAACCGCAATTTTTATACGTGTGCATGCAAAACAAATTTCTTGTGAGAGGGGTCTAAGTACAGCACAAACAACATTTCCAAAAGACTAAAAAAATGAAAAAGTATATTTCAACAATATATATATATATATAACACATCTGTTGAGGACATCAGTCTCACTACAGTTCATTAAATATTTAGATTTATCAAAATCATGTTAATTTCAATGAACCGCGTTTAAAACAGTCAAATTAACGACTTCTTGAAAAATGGCTTAAACTCCTGATGCAGTTCCGAAATAATTTTAATATGAGAGTTATTGTTAAATGAAATGTCTGAATCAATTATGGTCGACCACTGTAGAATGAATTGACTACATAATATTGATACCTTCTTTTATAAATTACTTATCCATTTAATACAATGTTTAAACTTTTGAATTAACAGGTATATCCCATAACGTGGAAAATCTTGGAAAAATGTCAGCAACAATAGTTGGAGATAGAAACTCAACACCAACATCACAATCGTCAACAACAGTGGTTGGTTCAACCACAGAAGAAACTGATCAACAGCGATTAAACGATACAGCATTGGAAAAAACCAAATTACAACATAATGACATTCTGAAAAAAGAAGGAGCCAAGATAGCGGAACTGGAACAGTTATTGGAACAAAAACGTAAAGAGATAGAAAATCAAAAAACAAAAATTGACAATAAAGATAAAGAGCTTGCAAAAAGAGACAAAGAGCTAAATAAAAGAGATATAGAGATAAAGAAAAAAACCTATGATATCAGAACTTTTGAAACAGAGAGAAAAACATCACACAATCATATACAGGAATTAAAGGGCAACATCAGAGTATTCTGCAGAGTCCGACCTTTACTGGATCATGACAAACGAGGAAATAATTGTAACATTAATCATATATCTTTTCCTGAGCCAAACAAAATAGATGTTGTCAAAACTAGTAATGCTATATCAAATGAAATAAATAAACCAAAAAAATTTAGTTTTGACAAAGTATTCAAGCACCATGCAACACAGGAACAAGTATTCACAGAAATATCACAGCTAGTTCAGAGTGCATTGGATGGTTATAACGTGTGTATATTTGCGTATGGTCAAACAGGTTCTGGAAAGACTTATACAATGGAAGGCACATCTGTTAATGATGATGATGTAAATAGGGGAATGATTCCCAGATCCGTCCTGCAAATTTTTGATACAATTAGAAAGCTAACAATTGAAGGATGGACATACTCAGTAGATGTATCATACTTAGAAATATACAGACAAGAAATTAATGACTTACTATGTGAGAAAAAGGTCGGTTTAAAACATGAAATCCAAGACGTCAATGATGAAGTTCGTGTTACCAACATCACTACTGAACGAGTCACTACAGAGAAAGAAGTATATCTGTTGTTACAAAAAGCATCTAAAGACAGGGAATGGGCAGAAACGAAGAGCAATAAGAGGTCATCTAGAAGTCACAGTGTTTTTACGCTTAAATTAACAGGGACAAATTCGATAACTACAGAAACAAGCAAAAGTACCTTAACCCTAGTTGATTTGGCTGGTAGTGAAAGAACTAAAATATCTGGAGCAGAAGGTCAACAAAAGAAGGAGACAGTAGCTATAAACCAATCACTAACTTCCCTAGGTAAATTCATCAGGGCTATAAGGGATAAGGACAAAGCTCCAGCTTACAGGGAGTCTAAGTTGACTCTCTTGTTACATAGATCTATAGGAGGAAATAGTAAAACACTCATGTTTGTCAACATATCCCCTGAGGAAGATTTTGTTGAAGAAACTATTAACTCTCTCACGTTTGCCACAGAGGCGAACAAGTGTAAAAAAGGAATTGCACAACCGAACAAATAAAACTAAGAAATTGAATATATTTCTGTGGTGGTGATGTCATTTTTTTTTACTGTAAACGCGTCTGCTGTATTGATGTTTCCATTTTTGTCTGGCTATTGTTTAACTAAGCACAATTAAGTATTTGTATTTATATCTATATATTATAGTGTAGTAAACAACATATGAAAATAATCAACTTAAATTGTCAGATAAAACTAACGGTATTTGTTCCAATAAACGGATTCTCGGATCGTGGTCTGAACATTTTCATTTTGGCGCACATTTTCTAATGTTTATGAAAAAAGCCCAAATATTATCTCATACTATAAACATTGTAAAAAGTTAATAGTGTAAGGTTGCACAGTTGATCAGTCTCAAAAGTAATTAGTTTGACTGTTTTTTACTCTTTACTAGATATGTGTATTTTCATTTGGTGATATGTATTGTCATAAATCTTAATCATTCAGATAGGGATATTTTCATTGCATAGTGTAAAGTGCAAAGACATAACTCTAACTGTGATGTACAATATAAATGACTTTCTCTTGGCTACATAATGTTGCTAGTATTAGATATTAATGTTATTCATTAATATCTGTAAATACAGGAAATCCTCTTTCCCTCAATAGGCTGTAACGGGCAATTATCACTTATATATATCATATGTTCGGTTTGTGATCAATTGATTGACCTATACTGAATGAACTTATTTTCTATTATATTTAGAGGCACACTTTCCAGATGTAACAACAACCTTGATAAAGATTGTAACACATTACATGGCGTACAGTGGCAAGTAGATGATGTACTGTTCGGATCAGCTATGTTTTGTTTGTCGATAAGGATGATAATCGTACTTATCATGACGCCTCAGTAAAAGGGCAGAGCTGTCAAATTCCTGTTCATCAATTTCACTCAAATTCACCTATTTCATTAATAACATACTAGAACGTAAATCAAAGTTATAAAAAAGTCTAAAATAATCAATTTGCGAGGCATGGACTCGATAATATGTATCAGCATTTCGTGTGTATTTTAATCTAGAAGCCAGCTAATTAACCATCGGGGTGACCCCGAAGACTGGCGACGGTCATATATAACCGATATAAGCATAAATATTGATATCGATAGATTGCAAGCACGTGCACTTGTATATTTCTAGATCTGATTGATGTCATATAAACATCTGTTATTCAACGTTTTTACCTGTATAAAAATGATTTTTGTGGATCAAATCAGTCAACCAATTGGTTTATACTTGTTTCACTTTCAATGTTGACATTCTTTGCCTTTTAATAACTGATCAGGAAAATGCCTAGTTTATGCGTAACCATCTCTAGGTAATGGTTGAATATAAGGTCATATGAAAATGCTAAATATACTATGAAATTAACCCGAAGGAACTTACTCTAACTAAATATAACATAAACAGCAGTAGTTGTCCTTTTCTAGATTTAGACATTTCAATTTCTAAAGGGAAACTCCATACTAAAATTTACGATAAAGAGATGATTTTTCATTCCCCATTGTTAATTTTCCTTTTTTAGAAGGCGATGTTCCTTTGGCTACACCATACGGTGTTTATATGTCCCAACTCGTTCGTTATGCCCGTGTGTGTAGTGATGTCAAAGAGTTTAACGAACGTAATCAATGCAGCACTGGTAAATTATTAAGGGGGTCACCAAACACTTTACCCTAAAAAAAACCTGTCGTTTAATTTTTCTTGCTTTTATCTCATTAATAAGTTAGGCCTAATTGAACATCATGTAAATTTTTTTAAAGATTTGAACCGTTGGTAAAAAGATATGGCCACCCAAATATGGCATGGGTCACATGATAATTTCGGTCGATTTTTGAAGTTCCAGAAATACGGGTATAGGGGTATACATGTTATTGTTTTTGAAAATTAAGCCTAAATTGACAAAAGCATAGTTGATAGTGATGAATCAGGCAATTTTATGTTGATTTATACCCTTCAGTTGTAAGTTTGTGTTTCTAAATTTAAATTTTAGTCTGAAATAAAAAAGTGGGTCTTAGATGACGGAAAAAAAATTACTATGATTGGTCAAATATTTTTAGATAAAAATGTTAATTAAAAATTTTTTTTGAAAAATAAACCATTTGTAGTACTATACCAGTATGTTATTCTCGCAAAAATTTATAACAATATAACCATCAGATTGTTTTCAATTTAAGATTAAAATATAACCCCACCCTCAATAAATAAGAGCAGGTTCCGTTCTGATAGTACACATGGGCCATGACTTTTTTGTCTTTTGATCTATGCCTTAGATATTTGGCATGTTGATGTATAGTCATGAGGTTAAGTGTCTTGTTTCATGATGATCTTCATATGACCTTCAAATTTGACCTCAACATCAACTTAATGTATTTGTTTGCAAGAAACACAACCAGGCAATAACTTCTTTGACCTATACCCTACATCTTTGGCATGTGAATGTATCATCAAGAAGTGGTGTGCTCCTTACAGTTTTGACCTTCAGGTTTCCTTGAACTTTGACCACGAGGACGATAACTGCATTTTTTGGCAAGAAACACTTGAGCGGGCCATGAAATTTGTCTTTTGACCTAGGCCTGAGATTTTTGGCCTGTTAATTCAATTCAATTGAATTCACAGTTTTATTTAGAGTCAATATTTAGTTAACAAATACATATTACACAAGCTCTAATCGTCCATACAACAACATAGACACACATTATGACATATCAACAAATTCCATGCACACGGAATACATAAAGGACACGTAGTTACATTAAAAATTCAAAAAAGGTATAGTTTCTGGTGAATCGAAGTGTACGTAGTTAACTACAGAATGTTTTTTTTAATTTCACATACGGATTCTGCGTGTAAAAGTACACGAGATAATAAAATTAAAAAGGGAGTAACCGTTTTCGTTTTTGAGATACGAGCTGTTGAAATTAACAGCATGAGACGCCACTAAATAGGATACATAGGGAAATTCTTAAAAATCGGCAGACATTTTACATGAACAAGATTTTCAATTTTGTTGGTCTACAGATTTAAAAAGAAAAGATAAACGAATCCATTGGTGCAAAGAACCTCGGCTCCTGAAAATACGATAAAATAGAACTGAACGTGCAAGATTCTTATGTATAATCAAATTCGTTAAACATATAATTTGATAGTATTTCTGGTGAGGTTATGAAAATTAGATACAATTGGTTTTTATTTTAAAGCAAATCAGTCTTAAAATGCTATCAAAATGTCATTTCTCCTCTCATTTCACGAAATATCAAACTGCAGTTACAAGTGTCACATTATTGTTTGGCCCCCTTATACTCTATTCAGTCATAATCTTGAATTGAGACTTGAGTACAAAAATTTGTTTATGACGTCTTTACACTAAATCCATTGGATGTTGGATGTGTACTGATTGATTATGTAGTCTTAGATGCATGATTTTTTATGAGTTGTTATTGGCTTTGAACTAGTTGTCAGTAACTGTGAGCACTCTCAGATCTGTACTTAGTGTCTGTTTGTTTTTAGGATGTACAAGTACCCGGCCACGTCCACGCTATGTTTTTGTTATATGTATTTCCATTTGTATCCATCTGATGAACTAAGCCTTTTTCATCTGATTTGTTTAGTTCGTTCTTATGTTGAACTGTTACACCACTGCCCCAGGTTAGGGGAGGGTTTGGATCCCGCTAACATGTTTAACCCCACCACGTTCTGTGTTACATATTTTCTTTCGTTCATGTTTTTGTACATTAACTATGCCGTTAGTTTTCTCGTTTGAATTGTTTTACATTTAAGATTTCGGAGCCTTTTATAGCTGACTATGCGGTATGGGCTTTGTTCATTGTTAAAGGCCGTACGGTGATCTATAGCTGTTAATTTCTGTGTCATTTGGTCTCTTGTGGAGAGTTTTCTCATTGGCAATCATACCACATCTTCTTTTTATATTTACTTCAAAATTGCATTCACTAATTCGGAAAAATACACAAAAGCACAACAAAAGGAAACAAATTTCGCTATCACTTCGAAATTAGAATTTGATAAAGCAAAACTTATATGTTCTATTTTTATCATACATGTTTAGTTTCAGCTTCATCCATGGTTCTAAATTTAGAATTTACGGTCCCCAAAAATTGCGGACGGAATAGAAGACACCTGTCTATTTTCTACACCTACCAGGGTCGAAAACAGAGATTTAAATGATATAGTGTAATGTTTCGTGGACTGAAGCTGATGGGTTTTATCCTGTTGTTGTCGTTGTTCCTCAACTTGTAAATGATGCACTGGTTGATTTTCGCTTTGGCTTTTTATATGGATATAAATCATGTCCTAAAATTTTCAATTGCATAAAAAAAAACTTGCTTACATTTTTCAACACACAAATACACAAGTCATGTGTATTAATTATTCGTAACCTACATTTTTACACTATGAAAGGTATTTCATTCAAACTGCGGGATCCTTTACAATAGACAATTCAGCTGATCTGTAATAATTCCATCTTCATGCCTTATATATCATGTACTGTGTTACGACGCTAGATAAAACTGACGAGGAAAGGTAACACCCGGCCACCGAAAGCTTTATTATATAGAGCCTAGGTGGTCGAGTGGTCTAGCGCGTCGGGCATAGTGCGAGGCGATTTGGTGCAACTATATCTCAGTAGCATGAGTTCGAATCCCGGCTAGGGAAGAACAAAAAATTTGCTTCCGCAAATTTACAGATCTAACATTGTTGGGCTGTTGTTTAGACGAATTATATATACAGAATGCATTTTTAGCCTTGTATCAACATCACTGCTGGTGATCCGATCAATAAAATCTGTTGTAGAGTCGTCACTGGTTCAGACGTACTTATATTATAATTATTTCTGTGACTGCATCTTACATTAATTTCTAGGATCCTTTACAATAGATAATTCAGCTGTTCTGTAACAATTCCATCTTCATGCCATATATATCATCGACTGTGTTACGACGCTAGATTAAAAACTGATTAGGAAAGGTAACACCTGGCCACCGAAAGCTTTATTATATAGAGCCTAGGTGGTCAAGTGGTCTAGCGCGTCGGGCATAGTGCAAGGCGATTTGGTGCCACGATATCTCAGTAGCATGAGTCCGAATCCCGTCCAGGGAAGAACAAAAAATTTGCTTCCACAAATTTACAGATCTAACATTGTTGGGCTGTTGTTTAGACGAATTATATATACAGAATGCATTTTCAGCATGGTATCACCATCACTGCTGGTGA